CCGTGGGCTATGGCACTGAGGACGGTGAGGACTACTGGCTCATCAAGAACTCGTGGGGAACCATCTATGGTGAGGACGGCTACATCAAAATGGCCCGAAACAAGAACAACCAGTGCGGTGTGGCCACCTATGGTGTCTACCCCACTGGTGTCAACTAAATGTATGATATGTATGATAATTATAATTATAGTGTAAAAATAATTCAAAAATAAATAAAACTATGTATTCATATAAATGCTTATTATTATGATGTTTGTTGGGAAACATTTCCATTTGCTATAGACTTTGTGTTATAAGTACTCAATAGATGTTTAGATTTGATACATAGGTTTAGTTGTAACAAATGAAAGGTCTTGTCATTTAGAAAAGTGATAATAAGTAACAGATTATTATAGTGTATGTGCCCTACGAAACCCTTTCCTCTCACAATCGTAAGAAATTATCATGTAATCGATATAAAGTACTAAACATATTATAGGATCTATCACATTTTTGCGATTTAAACTTAAGAATATATGCTATTCTGTAATCTCTCTCTCTCTCTCTCTCTCACACACACACACACACACACACTCACTCACTATTATTATCCGCTTTAAACAGTTATTGCTTTTCCGGAATATATAAATATTATTATTATTATCATAAAATACTATATACAAAAATATAAACATAGTATTTTACATACATAAAATAAATAACAAAAAGTTTCGCATTTATTGTACAAACTAACTTGCTAAGTAAACATTCATTACATTCACACACAAAAAACCAACAAAAAAGTAGTTTATCTTTTCAATCATAAATCACAGACTGATGTTATATTCATATTTTTCACTCCAACCCCCAATACCCGTCCAAAAACATATGTATTATAGACAATGTGATTGATCTGGATAAGCTATCATGGGCTCAACACTGGATTAGCACCAGATTTGCCAACTTGGAGATACTGTTAGCCGAGACGAGTGGCCGGTGCTGTCTGGGGGACGACATATCGGTGGCCGACCTATGTCTCGTACCTCAGGTGTACAATGCGTTACGATATGAGGTGGATATGACTCCCTATCCCATAATCAGCAAAATTAACGCATACCTGTTGACCGTCGAGGCCTTCAAACAGAGTCACCCCTCCAACCAACCCGACTGTCCGGCCGACCAGAAAAGTGCATTTGATATCAAAAAATAATGTCTATTTTTGTCGCAATATATTTGATTTTGATGTCAATATTAGCGCAAGAATTTCGGAAATGTTTTTCAAAATTTAAAGAATTTTTTGTTTTGTTTTTATAATAATTTTTCTTTTCGTACGAAATGTTTGAAATTCTTTGTCAGTGTTTTTGAAAGCAAAATATTTTTTATATGTAATTCAATATATAAAACAAAAAATATTGAAAATATTGTTTTCGCTTCAGAAAACCGATTTAAATGTGTTTTTGTTTTATTTTTCAACAACAAGTAAAAAACTGAATCTCGAAAAAATCATTTTTTATATGAAATATATTATTTTCATAAGCGATTGATTTCATCATAAATTCTTATACAAATTAAATTAATAGTATTAATACATGTATCCATAAAAAAATACTAAACGCTGTCTAACGTTTCCCTAATAAATAATATCCAGAAATAAAATATTCAAAACATTCAATATTTAAACTCAAAAAATAATATATTATTCTTAAAGAATATTCTTTTGATTTAAAGCCCAAGAATCCCAGAATTTAGACGATTTGATACACGGAGACAACCCGTGGGCTAAGCACTGGATCACCACTCGGTTCGCTAATCTGGAGGCACTGTTAGCCCAGTCTAGCGGCCGGTGCTGTGTTGGCGATGGGGTAACCGTAGCTGACATTTGTTTAGTACCGCAAGTGTTCAACGCAATCAACTTTGGCGTCGACGTCAACGCCTATCCATTAATCAACAAAATTAATTCACACCTCCTGTCACTCGACCCCTTCCGACACAGCCATCCCTTTCGACAGGCGGACTGTCCTCCAGAGTTGAGACTTCAGTGATCGATGAGAATATTCCGTGTATTTCATGAATATATTACAGAATATTCTGTCGGATAATAATTTCCAAGAATTTGTTTTAGTTTAAAAAATATAGTAATTTCGATATTCTGTGTATTATTCTTGTGTTTATTGTTTTGTTTTACACCTCTATTTGATTAGCCTATGAATTGATTGTTTTGTAGTGTATTTTTATTTTTTATGCTCATGTTTCTTAGTAATGAATGAACTAGATAAAAATAAAAATCTTGTATAATGTAATCAAAGTGTATTTGTCTTTTGCTGTTGTTTTTTGTGTATTTTGTTTCTAACATATCTATAGTTAGACAAAATTTTGGCTATATTTTTATATATTATTTAATGTGAATACTAGTTGTAGGCATCATTGTCTTGAATATAACGATATTTTTCGGTTCAGTATATCATTGAAAGAGACAATAAATATATCGAAAAGAAAAATGTGAAAAATCAATCTTTCGGTACATTTTTGTAACTCTTGTGATCATTAAAAGGGAAAATGTTTCGCAAAATCGCATGAAAAGAAACAGTTGTTTGCGACAATTTGTATTATATGTGCACTGTATGTGGACATCAATTTTCCACAAAATTATTAACATGGTATTAATAATACCACTAATGAACTCGTGGTTTCATATAATTCCCATAAAAATCATATC